CAGAGTACGACAGGCGTCATTCGGGTTGCGCACCGATAGCAAATGCCGAAAATTGGGGCGTGGTGGTACGCGTAGGGACATTTTCGGCCGCGTCAGCCACCTTAGCCTGATCTTGCCTCAAGTCTCCTGGACTGTGTATTAACATCGGGCTCATGTGGTGAGGGAGGAGAGAGGGCGATAGATGCGGTGACAGTGTACTATCACCTAAAACTAATTCATGCACAAGTCACCGTCTCTGCACTACCCTGTTCATGAACAAGCGGTGGACATCGTCGAAATCGAAGGTCGAAACGCTATTCAGTACAAAGCAAGGTGCAGGTCAAAATAATAAGCTGATAGGGGGGGGGAGTTGGAGGGAAGTAGCGGACCCGCTCATAGTTCGCCTCCGGTGAGAAGGCACAGATTGCATGATGCAGGCGAGCGCAGGCCTGAGCCCCAGCCCCGTTGTTGTCAAAGCGGCCATGCGCGGTCCAGGAGAGAAGAAAGTGCAATGCCACGGCAATTAGGTCTTCGCGCTCGCAGTCCGCATCCCAGAGGAGGAATACCTCGAAGAAGACACGACTCATGCTTTCGAGGAGCTGACGGAGGGAGAGCGAGGGAAAAAAGTTAAATAAGCAGAAGATTGGTGCAAGACTCAAGGAAGGTAAATCTGAGGTGGAGAATTAGACACAAAAGAGGAATTGGTTCACTCACCTCAGCTCGGTACTCAGAGTTCATCGGCACAGATCGGTTGCAGGTTTCATCCACTAACATGAAAACGTATGGCGAGACTATGGCTAAGACGCGGGGAGAATATGGGCCCTCGGCAGCTATAGACAATTTAGGGAAAAGACATAGCTAAAAGTTAGCAAAGCCCCAGGGGAATCGACATTTAAGGAATTATACAAACCAATCAAAATCGCTAAAAAGAAGGTGACAGCAAGGTCAAAAAATTTCAGTGTAAGTTAGAGGGCATTTTGACACATGACAATTTCACATCACAGTAAAAATCACTCTAAGGCACACTGATTACTTCGCGAACGTGACAGCGCAACAGCACCAGGAAATTATTTGGATAGTAGATAGACAAATTGTTTTGAGCTGCTAACCATCCCTTTGCTTATAGTCCCATCGCGTTTGAATGACAAAGCTGGACATTGCATGTGTCAAAAAAACGGAGCGCCTGTTGCTCAATATTTAGGCTATTGTACATCTAATCAAGGTCGTAGGATCAAGCCTATGGTGTTACAACGCCCGAGATTATTTATGGCTGGCTGATGGCACCTAATAAGCCCGAAACAATCATTACAATCTCCCTTTTGTTTGTCGGTACGACTCTTCTGCGAGTCGCTGTGCGGCTGTTAGCGGGACTCGAGAGTAAGCCCTAAAGCACAACTGTGTTTTGCAACACGATTGGCGAGCGTCCAACTACCAGGCTTCCTACTGAGCTCACCAGGCATCAAAATCAAAGTCTCAACCACTGATTCTGTTCATCTAGTTTCATCATCTAGTCAACCTGGCTGATGCGGCATATGCCCACTAGGGAGACCCGGGCGCCAGCTGGAGTAACAACAGTAGAATTCCCACTGTTTGAAGCTGGGTATCCCCATCTAATTCAAGTGAAACTGTGACTGCCTTGTGAACCGATGGCTCAACAAACTTAATTAACATAGACAAGAAGATTTGTGGTCGCTGTGAATGAAAAAGTTTACGCACCCAGGCGGGCTACAGCACCAGCAGAGGGAGAAGTACTTTAGACGTGAATAAGTGTTCAACATAAATCTACGAGCACCAGCCGCATTGGTTTATCAGAACTAGGTAACTCTCCAACAAAGACTCGCGCTTGCACAGCCCATAACTTCTGGTTGTCGAAAGACGCGAGACAAAAGTAACAAAAACAAGAAAAGGGGGTGTAGGTGGGGGCTTAAGAGTCGCCGCAAGAATGGCAGGACATGTATCCAAACCAAATGAGTCATGTTCACCAGACTCTGTTACATGCAGGTTTTACGCTCCTCTCAGTACTTGCGAGCCTTCGGACGCTTGTGAGTGGTTCGTTTTTTTGGTAAAAAGAAGTTACAGAGCATCTATCGACTCCTGGCAAAACTGATCACCGTCTCTGATTGATAAATACATCTTCAAAATGTAGACAATTTAGTGAATTTGACGATTGAGAATTGCAGACAAAACTCGGCAATAATCCCAGCAAGGGAAATGACTTACTTTGACCTCGAAGGGCCTTCATGAGGTCCGATAGGAGCTCTTCAAACAGTCGTTGCACAATCCAAAAATTAGGCCGTACTAGGTTGTAGACGGACGAAGAGTCTGTGAGACTGACAAGGAACTGGTGATAGCGCTTCATTGGAAAAGAAACAAAAGAGAAGTTTGACGGTAAAGTCTTCAAAACAAAACCAACGCCATTTTTGCAAAGATCGTGCAGGTAGTCTATGTTCGACTGAAACGAGCAGCATGTTTCTTGATACGTTAGGCGTCCGAAAGGATACCCCATGTACCATTAGTTCGCCTAGAATCCATATTCAGCAGAGCTATTTTTGTCGATACCTCCAAAAGGGCCGTGGACGGCACATGACGTTCTCGAAATCAGTCCTGACATTTAAGATGCCCTTTAGGCAGCAGAGGCCGGATGAAGCCTTGTTCCAGTTTAAAGTCCACTGCCCACACTTTGGCTAGACGAACCGAATTAAGGCAGGGCTGGGAAAGATATAAATAATGCATATATATATAGGCAATCAGTGGTTTGAACTCCTGGTGCCCGCACAGGACGTTTAGCTTTCTAGAACCAAAACGTGTTGAATGGGCGCAAATCATTCAGTGCTTCAGTGCTGCCCATAAATAGCAGCACAATGGCAGTCAAAAGTGCTAACAGATTCGCTCTGGCGGTGGCTGCCAGAGAAAACAGGATCCTAGAACTGGAGGGTGATGCCCCGGAAGGGGAAATAGAGAAGTCGAACACGA